TCTGCGTTTATTCTAGTATCCTACATTTTTGACACTTTTAAAAAGCATTTTAAGAATTCCATCCATCTAAGGATACTTATGGCTTATTTCTATTAAGTACGTATCAAATCAGCAGCATTTTATGAGTGATTTTTTTTTTTTGTATTCTGGAATGTCTTTGTATTTTATATATTTTCAAACACCAGTTGTTGGGACAAAACACTAAATAATCCGTGACCGATACCCCACATTCACTTGAAGTGAATACTAACAAATTCACTTATTTACATCTAGGGTCCACCCATCTTTAGATTCTCAGGGTCTCGATACTTTTCCGTAATGGAGACTTCTGCTGCTTCTTGGTGGGATAGAACACTTCCACAGGTTGAGAGAGAGAACCAATTAGGAGTATATGTAACAATTTACTGTACTAACTTAACTGATCAGACTTGAGTGACTTCAGATCAAGATATTCCATTACAAAACAACCATCAATAACTAAGTGTAATTAATGTCTTTAAGAAATGATTTTAGCATATTCATAAAAGCTACTAATAAGTAAAGACAAAATAAGCTGAAAGAATCTACAGAAGTATTTGTTTTTTAAAATCCTCATCCCAAGAATATAGACAGAACTACCCTTCAGAACCACATCCCCCACCCAAATAAAATCTTCAAAATGCTGCAAAGATTAGCCAGGAAACAGAAATTAATAAACACACAAATGGGTTGAATTTTAGCAAACCAGATCACTATGTCAGATGATCATTACGTGAATGCCAGGTGAAGTTCAATACAGCATAGTATCAAGAGCATGTACTTTAGAACCAGTCCAGCATTTGAATCTAAGCTGATCTTGGAACAAATCACTGAACTTTTAAGAGTTCCAGTTTCTCAACCTATCAATGGGAATACCACATGGGTTTTTGGGGTGAATGTATGCTAAGTATTTATCAATGCCTGGCACATAGTAAAACCCAAATGTCAGTACCATTCCCTCCCTTTCCTAAACAGCCCCTCTCTTCAGTACACCCTCACATTTATTATAGAGTCAAGCAAAAATTATGTGACTCCCCACACCCCAACAGTCAAGTAATAAAGAAAACATGGTAAACCGGTTTCATAGGGGGAAAAGTAAAGCTAAGAAGGGACTGATGAAAAGAAAAGTGTAATAAGTAAAGGACCAAAGATTCAGATGAAAGCAAAGAGCAGGTTGTAAAGTAGATTATCAATAAAATGGAGTGGATTTATTCTAGGAACTAACACCAAAAAAATCAGCAATACCAAGGTTTCAATACTAGTATTTTGAATGTGTATGCACTTCCTTAAAAATATCTACACTGAGGGCCAGCCAAGTGGCTCAGTTGGTTAAGAGCTCGCTCAAGAGTGTGAGCTCTGAGCAACAGCAGTTCGATTCCCAGCTCAAGCTGAGCTGCCAATGAGCTGCCAACAGGTGGCAGGATGGCTCAGCTAAAAACAAAAAACAAATAAAAAATACCTACACTGACAATTCATTACAATATACCTCATTTTGCAGTGTATAATGTGCACTTTTTTGGCCCAAATTTGTGAGGGAAAAATAAGGGCGCACATTATACACGTGCAGCACTAATTCCATATCTATATAAATGTTTTTAGTTCTTTTATTAATGCTTATGAGGGCCGGCTGAGTGGCTCAGTTGGTTAAGAGCTCGCTCAAGAGTTTGAGCTCTGAGCAACAGCGGTTCGAGTCCAGCCCGAGCTGAGCAGCCGCTGAGCTGCCAACAGGTAGCAGGATGGCTCAGCTAAAAAAAAAAAAAAAAATGCTTATGAGTTAAAATAATACGCTGGAATACGATAATCAGTTCTGTTGAACTTACGATGAACTTGCAACGACAAAGAGTTCTTGGCTTTCTATGATGCGTGTATTATCGTAAATTTGTTACCGGTACATAAAATTTCTGCTACCTTTTATCTGTTCTTGTGTTTTGTATTTATTTGTTACATAAAATCTCTTGTACCATAATGTTTAGAAATAAATGCTAAAATTCCTTTTTAATACAAAAAACAAGTACCTAAATGTAAACAAATAAAATTTAAATTAAAAAGTTAAAACAAAAGATTTTTCCCATGGAAGTTTGGGCCAAAAACGTGGGAGCACATTATACATGGCAAAACACTGTAAGCTGTAGGTGGGCTGGGAAAAGTTCACATTGCTGTTTCCTGCAGCATAACACATGGTCTATATTAATACTTACGTAATCCAGGCCCACAATAATATTTCATATGCTCAGTAAACTCCATCATCCTGCTGGATATTATGCTGAGCACTAGGATTACAATGGTGGGCAAGACAGGCTGGTTGCCTTCATGGAGCTCCCAATCCAGCAGAACGTTGTTTAATATTCATTAAACAACATGGGCCACCTACCACAATTACTAAATTCTAAAAGTAAATAAAACTTTTTGCATTAAACTGAACAAGTGAGTTCAATGGTTTCCTAAAGAGTAACAATACATTTGCTATATTCAAAAATCTTAAGTTTTTCAACTATTTTAGCTATAAATTCTGGGCCCCACATTTTAAGGAGGACATTTGACAAATTAGATATAATGTGAAAAGTCTAAAAACGTACTTTATGAAAAATGAATTTTTTTGGTCAAGAAAAGAAAAGACTCAGAAGACATGGCAACTGCCTTTAACTTTAAAGAGGTAGCATACAGATTTGCTCTGTATCATTCCAAAGCTTTAAACTTAAAACAGTGGGTAAAAGTTACATGGAGGTGGATTTCTGTTTCAACATGAAGAATTCTAACTCAAGCTATTCAACAATATCTCAACCACGTTACATTTGTGTAATAGTCTACACTATTTCTATACTTTACGAAACATAAATTTTCATTTACTTCTTGAAATAATCCAAAAATAAGTATTTCCCTGTTCCAGTTTAGGAAGCTGAGTTTCCAAGGGTCTTGCTAAGACCCTGGCAAACTAAGACTAAAACTCGAGTCCCAAATCTAACGCAACACGCTGTCTTCAAAGCGATGTCTTTCTGCATCTAGATGTATTCAGGCATGTACCAAATGGCCAGCTGTCAGGAGTGTTGGCCAAAATATTCTAAAGCTTATTCCAAATCCAATCCTTGAGAAATACTAGTGGTCAATACAAACACCATGAAAAGATTCAGTAATGAATGGTCTTCTAGAAAGCAAGCTTCATGAAAGCAAGGACATTGGCCTTTCTTAACTGCTATACCCCGGTCCCTAAGCTGTATCTGACATATAATATGTGCTCAATAAATATTTGTTAATCATGAATAATTCTAATCGCACATACCACTACTACATAATATAAACAAAACACATAGCACTACTAGATAATAAAGAAACTTGCAAAAGCATCCAACGAAAAAATCTGAAAAACACAAAATCCATTCTTAAAATTGCACCATACACTTAAAATTGCTATTTAAAGTCCTGAAACTTAACCTAATCAGTTTTTAAAAATAAATTAAATGGAAAAAATGCAAACCTTTTGGCAAGCCTAAAATATCTTAACTAAAAGTAAAATATACAGTCTTACAAGATATAAAGGCTAAATTTGGTGTAATGAGTCTTCAGTGTTGACAGTCTTTGCTTAAAGCATCAATCAACTAGGATTTTAAGTGTGCCTGCACACTTAGCAGGAATGAAGAGGTTTATACAGCTGTTTTGGTTTAAATACAAACTCACACCTACATCTCTACTCACATCACATCTTTACAAACATTTACCTGGCTGACATTTCAAAAACATCTGCTAATTTTACAAGTACAGTACACACATTGTACTGAGATTCAACACAACTCGTACTTAAAGGTACCTAGCATCCACTTAGCACTACTGAAAACTAAGACCAATAGGAAAACCACAATCAATGCAAATGTCATTTTGTAATACCTAATACCCTAAACTACAAGGCCTAGAATTTCCAGACATCTTAAGGAATGTAACAACATGCAAGAGTTACTTTTAATTCACACTGCTTAACAGATAGTATGTATCAATACTCACATTTTTTTTTTTTTGGAGAATATATAAGAAGCAAGGCATAACAGCTATAGAAAAGATTTACTCCAATTGCACTAGGTTAAATTATACCTTTTAAAGATTTCTGAACAAAGATCCTAATATTTAAAGGTCTAATTAACTTTAAAGTAAGTGTAAATAGTAACAACAGTAAATAGGGTAAAAGCATAAAAATATACTAAGCCATTTTACCTTGGTTACATTGGATTACACCAATTAGATTCCCTTTATATGTTATTAGCAACTGGGTGTCATCACAAACCAACACAAAAACCACAATCTTGTCATTTTTCTAATTTTTTTGAAATTATGACTTTGAAAGATTGTGTAAGAAATTATTCCAAACAGGAATATTGCAAAATGGATTATCTTCCTTATCTTCAGAATTTAGAACTTCATAGTCCTACAAAAGCTTCCACATAAGCTCTTTTCGCATATTAAAAGAATATACTTTACAAAAAGACTGCTTTTCCCATCTTGTATTATATGACACATTTGCAATCTATACCTAACTGACATAAGCACGTGATTCAAATTCTCCTTTACAATATTTAGCCCTAAACTGCAGTCCATTCCCAAATCTCCAACAATGAAACATCTTCAGAGAGCTTTCAAAATTATGACAAATTAAGCTCTGGTTTACCCAAATTAACTGCACTGGAAAAACAATCAGCAGTTGAGAAAAACCTGCTCGTATATTAATGTAACAAGTTTAAAATTCTGAACTCTTCCTTAGAAATCATTCCTGCCTGAATGAAGCAAGGAGAAAAGCTCTGTTGGACCTGACCTGTTGCTTTGTCCCTCCAACCCCCTAAAAGGTGTCAGAGGCGCCAAAACGCCTCTCACTACTAGAAACGCTTCCGAAGTTGGGTTTTCTAGTCTCCGGTGGCTTGGAAGAGCCCAATCACCACTTTCCCTGCCTCCGAGACCTGGCCAGTCCAGCTAAAGACGAACGCACGGGACAGCGGGCTCACCTGATCACAGGGCTGTAAGGGCTCCGGGAGCGGCGCCAGCTGCTGCTGCTGTAGGGGCTGGGAGACACGTCGCCGCCCCGCTCATATGAGCTGTGGCGGCTGTAGCTAGGGGAGCGCCGGCGGCTGTAGGGGCTCGGGGAGCGCGGCAGCCGCCGAGAATACGGGCTGCTGCCACCTCCTGCCGGGCTGGGGGACTTGCGGCTCCTCAGGCTCTGCGAGGCCCTGTGAGACACCGGGCTGTCGTCCCGGCCTCCCAGGGGGCTCAGGGACCGCTGCCGCCGCCTGTAGGCCTTAGGCTCGGTCTTCTCCTCCCGGTAGGCCTTGGGCGGCTCTTTGTAGGCCGAAGGCGGCTCCTTGGACGATTTAGTCCGGCTCCGGTGAGCCTTCAGATCTCGGTCCTTGCGGCTGCTACTGCTGCTAGACGTGGCCGAGGCGCTTTTCCGGCGGCCGCCGCTACTGCTGCTGCTGCCGCTCTTGGCTGCCTCGGCCCGCTCCTCGCCGCTGTGGCTGTGGCGGCTGCGGGACTTGGAGGCCTCGCTGCTGCCGCCGCGCTGCCCGTCCCGCCGCCGGTGCTCGCGGTGGCGCTCCTTGCTGCGGCCGCTGCTGCGGCGGCGGTCCCGGCGGGGCCTGCGCCCCGACCCCTCCCCGCGCCGCTGGGTGCCGGAGGAGGAGGCCGGACTCCCGCCGCTGCCCCCCGTCCCCCCGGCAGCCGTCGCCGCCGTTGCCGCGCTGGCGCCCCCCAGCAGCAGCCCCTGCTCGGACTGGGAGCTCACATCCTCGTATTCCACCAGCGGCGTCACACCCCCGCCGCTACTGGCACCGCCACCGCCGTCCTGCTGCGGCTGGGGCAGCGAGAAGACCCGACGCTTCTCCGCCTCCTGCCCGGCGCGGGGCCCGCGGCGCCGCTTCTGCCGCCCTCCTGGGCGCCTCTTGCCTCTCGCCAGCCGCTTGACCTCCAGAGGGGGGCCCGGGCTGAAGCAAGAGGAGGAGGCCGCGGCGGCGGCGGCTGCGGCGGCGGCGGCCGTGCCGGGAGCAGCCAGGAAGAGCAGAGGCGGCGGGGGCGGCGGCGGTTGCAGGAGCTGCGGCTGCAGGAGCGGCAACAGCAGCGGCGGCTGCTGAGGGGACAGGAATCGCCTTCGCTTGCGGCGTTCCTCCAACTTCTTCTCCGCCCAGCTCAGACCCCCGCCTCCCCCCAGCGCCGTGTCCGAGCTGCTCGGCATCGCCTAGAGCTCGCCGCAGAGCGCGGCGCGGGTGCGGCCTCCCCCCGGGTCAGATCCTGGCCATCTCCCGCGCCGGAAACGGGAACAGCAGCGGCAGCGAAGGGACACCGAGCACCAGGGCCGGCCGGGAGACACGCCACGATAATCCGGGTTGGGACTCGGGTCCCTGGGTTCCAGGTCACAGTGGGGTACGCAGCGGCCTCCAGGCCTGAGGGAAGCAGGAATCCGGGCGGCAGAGCTCCCGATCGTGCCCGTCGTCCTATCCTCAGCAGCAAAAACACCAGATTCGCCGGGCGCTGACCTGCGAGGGAGTCCGGAGTCCTCCAAGTGCCCCCGGGGTGGGGGAGCGGCCTCCGCCGCGCTCTCAGCTCAGGCAGCGCAACGCGGAAGTACCACCTTCGTCGCCGCTTCACTCCATCGCGCCCTGACGTTGGGTGCGAGTTCAGGGGAGGGGAGTGGGCGAGACAACAACACGCCTCTGCCGCCTCCTCCTCTGCGTCGACGTCGTCCTCCAGGGGTGGCGGCGACACACGGCGGGCGCCTCAGAAGTGGCTTGGGCCTGACAACTCCCGGCCTAGGGCCTCGCGCACTCTGTTGCCCGCTGGGACGGCCGGCGGGGCGGGGCAAGGCGGGGGCGACCGGGCTGCGGCTCTCGGCTGGGGCAGCGAGTGTGCGGGGCTGGGCGGGGGTCTGTTTCCGGGGAGATGGGGCGGGGGGAGGGGGGCCTTTCTGAGTCTGTGGTGGCGGGTATGGGCCTTGACTTTCTCCGCCGCCGCGAGCAGAGGTTGGCGAAGCTGCCCCTTTCCTCCGTTCCCCCCGCCTCACGAGGAGGCTTCTGGTGTGCGCGACCGGCCCCGACTCGCTCCTCCCCTTCCCTCTCCGCTCCTCGTCAGGGGGGAGGGCGACGGGACTTGCTGTTTGGGCCCTAACCTCCACAACCCCTCCTCCTCCCTCGCTCTTTCGGCCTTTTCCTTAGGCCCAGACGCAAGGCCAGGAGCGCGCACGCACGTCACGCTCTGGAAAAGCCGTAGGTGAGTGGTGTTAGGGGACAAGGAGGCGGGAACAAAGTTGCCGCGCACCGGCGTGCTCGCTCCCGCCAGCGACGGGCATTGGACCGGAAGTGGTGTGACGTAACTACTTCCGGTGGGGGTGGAACTATGTGTGAAGAAGGGTTAAAGAAAGGAGAGGCTTCTGCACTGCCCACTGCTGTCGTTTGAGACTCTCGCAGTGATGGCCCGCCGCTTGTGCCTGTTGCTTGCGTCCAGCGTGCATTGCCTCACCGATTTTCTTGCAGGCACCGCATTGCCTGCTTGTTGAAAGGTCACGGCGCGAGCCAAGAATCTAAGAGACCCTGAGATAAATAATGTCCTTAGTGGCCTTCTAGACTTGGTAGTCACCCGTCATCTACTTTCACTGAAGCCCTGGAGGGGGGATGGGGGGGGGGGGGTTGAAACAGCTGCGAGAGCAGAAGAGCAGGCACCATGAGTTAGAAGGCAGAGGTGGCTTTAAGCTTAAACTGCCTCAGGTACATACAAGTTCCAGGCCCCATCGTAACTTAAAAACACGCTTGGGAATCACTGTGTCAAGTTTAGATCACATTGAAGTTTACTTTTTTTTAAAAAAGCAAATTAATCCGGGGAATAAATGTGCTGTCAAAAGGAACTATTGAAAAATCCTGAAATTATTATTACCAGCAGCCTTGAAGTGCAAACATCTTGTTCAAATGAAGGCTGCCCTCATGCAAAAGAATGAAACTAAACTGCTATCTCACCATATTCCAAAATTAACTGAAAATGAATCAGAGTAAAACATAAGACCTGAAACAATAAATTCCACAGAAGAAAACATAGGTACTAAACTTATGGACCTTTGGTTTAGAGGGCATTTTTATGAATTTGACCTCATAGGCAAAGTAAAAGCAAAAATAAATGAATGGGACTATATCACACTAAAAAGCTCTGCACAGGAAAAGAAACCATCAACAAAGAGGCAACCAACCAAATGGGAATAAATATTTGCAAACAACACCTCTGATAAAGGGCTAATATCCAAAATATATAAAGAATTCGTACAATTCAACAACCAAAAAAATCCAATTAAAAAATGGGCAGAGGACCTGAACAGACTCTTCTCCCAAGAAGACAAACAAATGGCCAACAGATATATGAAACAGTGCTCAACTTCACTAGCTGTTAGGGAAATGCAAATTCAAGCCACAATAAGATACCGCCTCATACCTGTTAGAATGGCTATTATCAACAAGAAATAACAAGTGTTGGAGAGGTTGTGGAGAAAAAAGGAACCTTCATACGCTGCTGGTAGCAATGTAAATTGATACAGCCGCTATGGAAAACAGTATGGAGGTGCCTCAAAAAATTAAGAATAAAATTACCATACAACCACCAATCCCTCTTCTGGGTATCTACCCCAAAAATCTGAAAACATTTATCCATAAAGATTTTTGTACTCCTACATTCATTGCAGCATTATTCATGGTGGCCAAGACGTGGCAACAACCAAAGTGTCCTTCGATACTTGATGGGATAAAGATGTAGTACATATATGCAATGGAATATTACTCAGCCATAAGAAAAGATGAAATACTGCCATTTGTGACAACATGGATGAATCTTGAGATTATCATGCTAAGCGAAATAACTCAGTCAAAACTTGAGAACTGTGTGACTTCATTTGTGAGATATAAAACTGAAAGCATCAAATGAACAAGACAGACAAACAAACAAAAAATAATAGACACAGACAACAGTTTAGTGGTTACTACAGGGTTGGGGAGGAGGGGATTGTAGAAGAGAGTAAAGGGGGTCAAGTATATGATGATGGAAAGAGAACTGGGTGGTGAACACAATTCAATATATAGATGTATTATAGAATTGTACACTCGAAACTTATATAATTGTACTAACCAATGTCACCCCAATAAATTTAATAAAAATTTCTTTAAAATAAATAAAATTGCAAAAAATAATAATTAAGGCTGCCCTCTTCGTACTTCACCCACTTTCATCTTAATATCTAAATTTGTGAGGCTGCCAAAAGTAACTTAGCAACTTCATGTCTCATTTCTTACATTACCAAGCTTGCCTTTTATTTATAGATTGGGCCCTCAGGATAATTACGTTAAAATCTAAATGCCGTATTGACTTTTAATATGGTTCAATTGAAAAGCTAAGCAGTCCATTCAATGGCTACATGTAGTAACCCTTTGCGCATTTATTTGTTCAGACCATCAGTTGGTTCTTAGTTCTTAAACACCTGGTATCTATTCATCATTCATACATTAGTGTAAATAATTTTAATTGACTTCACACCCACTAACATTGTATTTCAAACTGGACTGAGCTAAGGTAAGATCAGACTTCACTGAAAGAATGAATACAAAGGATGTTTGTTGCCGACGGGTAAAGGAAGAAGCAAAGGAATAGGTAATCTAGAAGTCAGAGCATTTATCAGGAGAGTAGGCCTAGGTGGGCCACACAGTGGGACCTACTATGCAGCCAGAAGGAAATGGTGAGAGTATTGGGAAACTGAATAGAAATGTAAGGGGCAAGGTGCTTAGAACAAATTTCTCCTTGGCAGTATTGCTGAGTGAAGGTTTATAGCTTGCCTCCTGCTAAAGACTAGTTAGCAAGGCACTTTTTCTAAAAAGTAGATCAACCTACTTCATCATCCTTCTTTGAAAAGCATGGTGTAACATAACAAATAGAGCAAAATACAAGGTTTACCTAGCAGTTCTTCATAGCTATAACCAATTCCACTTAAGGATGTCATCTATCTTACAACTTGTGAGGCAAAGTTGATCAATAGTAAATGGATAGAAATTTGCAAACAGAAAATTGCAAACAGGTCGCAAAAAAACCCCACTAAATATAATATCTTCACTGGGGTTTTGCCACCTACATGCTCCCGCAAAGATTCTATGTTGCACTGGGTGGGGAAAAGAGGAAGAAATTAAGCATTTTGAGCTTCCCAAAGATACCTGCCCACATACATTGAAATACTAATTATAAGATTCAAACTCCAAAAAAAAAAAAAGAGAGAAAGACCTTTAAATTAGAAGCCACCTGTTTTGATAATAAGCTTGTCTACCTCTGTCCATATGAAGAGATTTGAAGTTGCCACTTGGGAGTCTTTTGCTGTTTGTTTTATAATTTATTGTCTCCTGGTTTAAAAAAAAAAGGTGGTAAGTTTTTTGCTTTATCTAACAGGTAATATCATATGATATCAACTGTTCTTTTTTTTTTTTTTTCTGAGCTATCCTGCTCAGCTCGGGCTGGGACTCAAACTGCTGTTGCTCAGAGCTCAAACTCTTGAGTGAGCTCTTAACCAACTGAGCCACTCAGCCGGCCCTTGATATCAACTGTTCTTAACGTATGTTTTGAGGCTAAAACTTTTTAATGGATCACACAGTCAAGACTATTTTCATAATAATAAGGGTGTGATTTGTCTTTTTCACTGTCATTCTTTTACAAAGGTACCATGGAGTTTTCCAGAGGCAATATGACTTGTTATGACATCATCATTCTCATGGCTAATATATAGTGTGTGTTCATTTTTCTAGATGTTCTAAGGTATTAGGTTTTGAAATGTGTAAATAACTTGGAACATCTGCATAACTCAGTGAACCAATATTTTTCAAATGACTAATGGATGATATTACAAAAGCATGAGTAAAGAGTCTTTCAAAATACAAGACAGAGAGTGGAGATCTTGTCAAGATGGCAGAGTAGGTAAACACTACGCTCACCTCCTCTCATGATCACATCACAATTACAATTAAACTACAGAATAACCATCAGTGAGAATCGCTTGCAGTCTAGCTGAACCAATCAATGCCTTACAACTAAGGACATACAGAAGAAGCCACCTCAAGACTGGTAGGAAGGGCTGGACCCACACCCACATGTGACCATTAAAAATCAGGAAGGATATCTCGGCTGAGGAGGCTGAGGAAGTGAAGAGTCCCAGCCACACATCAGACCCCCCAGCCCAGAATTTCAGTGCTGGGGAGAGAAGTCCCCATACTTCTGGCTGTGAAAACCAGTAGAGATTGTGGCTGAGTGAGATGAGAGTGGGTGGAGTCCCAGGTGCTCCTCTGAGAGGGATCATGAATGAACTTACTTGGTGATGGACTCACTCACTCTGAGCTACAAGGGCAGCAGCTGGAAAGGTGCCAGAGACATATATGAGGGAGAACTAAATTATCTGGCTTTAAGGTGAGGGCTGGAGGGGCAGCTTTCTCTTAGATGGAGGAGCTGGCAGAAGCTATTGTTTTTTTGTTGAGGCCCTCTCACTCCCAGTGTGCAGGCGCAGGCAGCCACCTTATCTGAGTCTCCATCAACCTGGCTAACACTGTTTATTCACTGTGATTCCCTGAGACCCTGCACCACTCAACTTTCAGGCCCACCCAAGCCACTTCCAATGGCTTTTCAATTCAAACAGCCTGTCTTGGCTCATGCTGCAGACTTTCCTAAAATCTCTCAGAGGTTTACAAAACACAAACAAACAGCATATGCTTTCAGGGTGTTCCATACCACTGAGCAGTTCCAAGCCCAACCCTCATGACAGCCAGTGGCTCCATTTGCAGGTTGGCTTCTTGAGGCACCTCCAAGCCCTGTGCATGTGGCAGCCATCAATGGATTGCTTTGTGGCTCATGCCAGGTGGCCCTGGGCAGGGCTCAGGCTGCAGCTGAACTTAGCCTCTGGTGGGGCCCCTCTAGGAGGCACTGAGGCTGGCATGCTTGGTGGCCAGCTTCAGACCCAGCCGGAGCATCACATGGTCAAGTCTGGTAACGACACACCCAAAGGGCAGATTGAGCAGGCATCAGAGTCCTGCTACAGCGAATCCTATTCTGTAGGGTCAGCCCCTGCACAACAGATCCTCCACTGTAGTCATGGCCAGTCCTCACAACCAATCAGCCTGAGGATCAATTCCTTCCATTGACATGCAAATAGCAACCTAGGCCCAACTACAACATAAGGGCACACACAGCCCACACAAGGGACACACCTGGAGTACTCAGCTCAGGTGACCAGGAAGATTATACCACTGAGCCCCAAAGCACACCTACTACATAAGGCCACCACTCTACTAAAACCAGAACATATAGCAGCCCTACCTAATACATAGAAACAAACATAGGGAGGCAGCCAAAATGTGAAGACAAAGAAAAATGTCCCAAATGAAAGAACAGAACAAAGCTCCAGAAAAAGAACTAAACAAAATGGAGATAAACAGTCTACCAGATACAGGGTTCAAAATACTGGCCATAAGGATGCTCAATGATCTAAGGGAGAACTTCAACAAAGAGATAGGAAACATAAAAATGAAATAGGAAAAATAAAAAAGAATCTGTCAGAAATGAAATGAAGAATATATTAGAGCAGCGGTTCTCAACCTGTGGGTCGTGACCCCTTTGGGGGTCGAACAACCCTTTCACAGGGGTCACCTAAGACCATCGGAAAACAAAAAGATATTTACATTACGATTCATAACAGTAGCAAAATTACAGTTATAGAGTAACAACGAAAATAATTTTATGGTTGGGGGTCACCACAACATGAGGAACTGTATTAAGGGGTTATGGCAGTAGGAAGGTTGAGAACCGCTGTATTAGAGGGAATCAACAATAGATTAGATAAAGCAGAGGATCAGATCAGCAATTTAGAAGATAAGGTGGCAGAAAATACCCAAACAGAAATGCAAAAAAAAAAAAAAAAAGGACTTTTAAAAAATGAGGATAGTTTAAGGGGCCTCTGGGACAACATCAAACGTAGCATTGTT